GGACACAACATAACAATAACGATTAGGAAGTGGATTATCGAAGATTATAATTATAGCAAATGATTAGTGCCGAAAGCTGGACAACGTGTTAACAGATGCGATTGAAAGCGCTGATGATCCTTCACTATTCCTTACTATGTCAGGTTCATCTTAAAGGGTAGGGTAATCCTCTAATGAAAGATTAAAGACAAAAACGACATTCTTAACCGTTTAGAACTAGCTGAGAGAAAGGCGAAACGAAGGACTCGCATGGTGTGGCGGTGAACGCGTTACACCCCGAAAAGGTCAATAGCGCGTTCGTTCCTCACCGCAGATACCTGCGGTCCGGAGTTTTGCAAATATCTCAGCATCATTGAAGTTATATTTCTCAAAATACCTTGCCATCAAAAGTAGTAGGCAGTAAATAAAACGGTTAAGATTGTGAAAACGACATTGTTCATAAGGACGATCTACCTAGAGCTGTCCGATAGCTGGGCACAATCGTCGGCGCCGTCAGCGGGAAGCGCGAGAGCCAACGGCACGTCTTACGTCACTCGGCTACGATCAACCGACGCCTCGTGGCTGCGTCGCGTGCTCACGGTCGTCGAGGTGGGTCCCGACGGTTTGGCACAGTTCTTCTTTGCTGTATTACAGCATTGATTTTAAAGGATGAAATGTTTGTAGAATGACGTTGATTTGCATCAAAGAAATGCGAAATATTCGGATGCAAATGGTTTCACCGTAAGACTCAAACAAACTGGCAACCTAAGCATAAAAATGTTACAGAAGCTGCACTCCTTCCAACAGGGCGAATTCAGTCGGTTATACTGTCATCGATCTGGAAAGATCCAGCAATTAGTCGCAGGAATCGGAGCCGTCTTGGACGTATTCTAGGCGGAATGCAGCAGGCCATTCACCGACGACCCACAACAGCTAACGCGTACTTGTGGTGGAGACCTACGAACGTCCTAAAGGTATTTCTGGGCACAAGTGACGCTCAGTGAACATGTCGGTGGGAAGGGAAGAGGACTAAATCGTTGAGTCGTGTGCGATTTCACACATGAACTAGGGTACTTTTGCCGACAGCAGTTTCAAAAACAAGGAGAAGTGCTAGCGCTTACGCGGCCTGTGGAAAGGCGATTCTACGTATCTAAAAAATTGTTTTAATTCTAATTGAAAATCTGCACTATAATAGATTATCTTCCTTATTACTTAGTCCAGGATGACGTGAGACCCCAGTGGCAGAAGCAACTAAGTCGGTTCGTGGATTTTTCTGCAGATTTATTCAAGGCTACGGTGGTTGACTCATATACGGACTTCGCATACAAGTTTCCTGATCTCCTGCACTCTCCCAGTAAACCAAAACTATTCGCCTACCTTGGATAGAAGTGGTTTCAATTAGCTACGTCAAAACCATATTCACTTTTCTACTGAAAATGCTTATGAATGGAAAGTTGACTTGGCTCTCTGATGGATTAACATCAAATCGCGATTGGGAAATGATCCTACTTGTCAAGCGAGGTGTGCAGTAGGCTGTTCCTCGTATAGTGTGGTTTTCCAGCTAAAAGGGAGTTCGACACTTTATAACTTCAAGTACAACTATCAGAACGATAAAGCCAAAAAAACGGAGTCTTCTTGATAGCCATCTGCTCATAAGGTGTAAAGCTTTCATGTGATTCACAAGCGTCGAAAATCTCATCCTGCAGGAATCCGGTGACAGTAACTGCACTATGGATTGCCCGTTTTCATAGAGGCGATGCAAGCTACAGAATGGTTGCCAAATTTGGGAATGGAAACCATTTTGCTGACTTCCTGTGTATAGCACCTTTTATTCACGGAGACTTAATTTTCGAAAATGGTATCGTTAATGGGCGTGAGAATCATCTATTGGCACTACTCAACGGACTGTGCAACTTCCAGATCGCCATAGTGCCGTAATTCCGCTCATGGTCTGGTTACCGCATTATCCGTCGGCAAACTCAACCATCGGTGAGCCACAATCACCTAACACACAGATAAGACGTAAGTGACGGTGAGATTGTGTGTGTGTGCTTTTTTCTACATGTCTTATCGCAGAGGTTACTGGAAAAGAAGTGACAGAGAACTATGAACGGTTTATTTTAAAAAGCGGTTTAGAAGCCATGCCGAACGTACTACAGTTTTTCAATCAAACTCCTTTCGCCTCATCTCTATCGTCATCAAAGATTTGCGGGAGAAGAGAAGAAAGGTGAATCTTGGACATACAGCAAGTGATCTAACACGGCTACTAAAAAATTCCACCTGTACAAGGACCTTGCGCCAAACAAAAAATCATTAGTGCTAAAGAAATTTAAAACCATGAAGATATTCAAAAATGGATAATTATAAAGAAGGACAGCCGGCACACCCGCGGCGATAACGTTGCATAGACTATTTCTGGCTGAACAACAGTTGAATTCCTACTTTCTCTGCCAGTGGAGTCTTATTGGTAACGGAAGATCCTTACTTCAGTCCTTTAGATTTCACACTCCTCATATCTTCGTTTCAGGCCTTGAAATCTTCAGTAGAGAAGGGCTCCCACGCAACTCTTCTCAAACCCGAATTATAATCATTAGCAAACACAGTAGCACGGTTCTCTTACCAGCTAGTTCATAAACGCTTGCTCGATTGCTGTGTACAACAAAAAACTGCATTGCTTTCCCAGATTGTATAAACCAACAATTTCGTGGGTTGGTGTACGTTGTTTCTTATTCGTTGTATAGCATTTGAGGGCGAACATGTTGGCGAAACTGGTAGACCTCTGTAAGCTCGTATAGCAGGCCATAATTTGGCGAACTGGTGATCAAACAGAACATTCCGCAAGGCACGCGTAGCGCACAAAGACATAACGGAGAAGATTTTGAAGTAGAAGATACCATTCTTGGACAAATTCGAAAAATTTAGAATGAATCGCAGGGATGAGTGCTTTGTGATCACGCGCAACCTCCCCCCTTACCTTAGGTTGATTTTTGAATCTCCCATCTAAGACTCTGTGAACCAGGGATCCAACAATAACTGGAGGAGTTATACGGAACAAAATAGCGAGTGTTTAAAAGCTGACTATCGTAAAAATAAACTTTATGCATTACTTTTTATCTAACGAGATTATGAAGTTGTTTATCTGAGTAGATTGCATGCCAACTGACTTTTAAAAGCTTTGAGGAAAGCGAAATCGCCGAGACGCCAGTGAACTATTATTCAATGCCGAGGTTAGCAGGAGGTTAATCCTGGGATTTGACAGAATTTTATTCATTTAACAGCCGCTGTTCAATGCAGCAATGTTGTGTAGAAAATTGGAGTGATGATGTCGAATAGCTCAAATACGTTTTAAATTATTGCTTGGGTAATCGTGAAATCTTAGGCTTTATTTATTGTTTTGTTGTCCATTCTCTTTAATAGCAGGATACGATTTCAGGTACAGCACAAGGGTGCTGAGATATGAGCAAAATTCGGAGCTTCAGTTGGGCTTCGAACACTCGACCTCTCGGCAGGCTTTTTAACTTTGTCATTGCTATCAGCAATCACCCGTCAAGGGGAATGATATGGGTAGCACAAATCGTTATTGAGCCCAAGTAAACTGAAGCATACGTTATGATTTTGACTACAGCTAGTTTATCAAAACTCAACAACAGACGTCATGTATATGGGTGGATTTTGCTTGGACGAATCTCATGCGAAAAGTGTGGAAAAGTGAAAGTGGTGTTACAACCTATCCGTCATTAAATCACCTTTATTATTAGAGGTTTTAGCGATGCCATCTTTTCTTTTACAAAGTGGAGTGGCAGAGAACAGTGGAGATCGACAGAAGTCCAAACGATTGTGGAATTGTACGGAAAGAACAGGTTTTTTGTGTCCTCTGAAAGTATGACAAGCTTCGACGCGTGGAGACGTTAATGAGTAGAGAACAGAACGACGATTATGAGGGAATGAAGTTAACGGCAATTACACTAGAACTCTAGCAAGATGAGACATCCGTAGATATGAGACATTAGTAGACAGTAGGTATCGAAAGTCCTTGTCAATTTTGTTTGGCTTAGACAGCTCATAAGAAAAGCTGTACAAGTGCTGATCCGTTGCCCTTCAACAAATACTTTCAACTGACAGTTTAACAAAGGCCCTTACCTTTACCATTGTTTAAGTTTCCTGCCATGTATCATACATTTATAGTGTCATCTTCAACCAGTGACGAATGGGAATTACAGTGACTACAATAAAGCCAAAAACGTTCTCCAATTAATCAGATAGAAATAAAATTTAACCTCAAATAAGCGTAATAAACGTAATGGCAGAACAATTACACAAAAACCAGTAGTCCACCCAAGATACAATACTAACATACTTAAATAATAAGTGCTTCAGTTGCCTAACGTGTTGTCAAACCAAGGATATTGATTAGGACATGAAGAACACGTAAGGAACTCATGTTCTTGACTTGGTAAACCAGGAGTCTGGTACATGCATTTATTCGACTTGATGCACGGTGTTCTGGAGATGAACGGATAGTGGCTGGAGGCAAATTGGTCACATTTCAACGAATTGGCCTGTAAAAAAGGTATAATTGCCTTCATCAATGCAATAACCATTTCAAAGAAATAGAAAATATAAAAAATTTTACTTCATTTTGTTTTGTTTTGTTTTATTTTATTTTGTTTCATTTTATATGACCCGCCTTCAGGTCTACTGTACGGACCCAGGACCTCTCACATTCGATTCGTATTTCCACGCATCCATTATCCACGATGACCTTCCAACCTTGTGCCTTCAGATAGTACTTGAAGAACTTCATTTCATCTTGCATGCCGTAGAATGCTGGTCGCACAATTTTCCCTACAGTCGTGAGACAACCGGGCTGGAGCGTTTCCAACTCGATTGCAGAGAGTGATTTTTTTCCCATACAAGACGGGTTCCAATTTCCCGACCCTGGAGAGATGAGATACTTGGTTGGCCTGGAGCGGAATCGAACTGTCACCAGACTCGTAATGATGGACATCACTACCACAATGTTACCTGCCCCCTATACAAAAAAGTTGCAGACTAAATAAAGTGTAATCAAAATGACTTGTATTTACTTGGGAAATACGAGTCAACGTAACAGGATTTCGCATCCAGTGCAGCACCTGTCTCATTGTCACAACGTATACATCCTTTTTGTACAGAACTTCTTCTAAGAACCTAAAAAAGGAAATTACCATACTGTTACGGTTATGAGCAAATTATTCCTTACAGAATCGTCATAACAAACCGCTGCAGCGCTTCCATTCCAGTATTTCTGCCGTTAAGTTGAAGAAGATCAGCATTCAGTGATAACACATACGGAGCTCGATTTGTTAGATAACTGCGCTCGAAATTTGAAAATAGCATATTGGTCTGAAAAACTTTTGTTTTGAATACACTTTTAGTCCTGAAGGACTCAATTGGAAAGCCCTCTGTTGATATATGCGTATTTTCCTTGCTATTTGCAAAACACATAAACACGGCCTCAACCTGGTAGTTGCCATCAGAAAGTATAAGCTCTGATAGTTTACGGAAGAGCATTTATTTGAGAAGAATTTTGTGTAAATAGAATGTATATGTTTGCCGCCAATGAAAACCCTGTACCTATGACTTTTAAAGATATTTCGGGTAATGTATGTAACGTGGGTTTCCTATGGTATATATTTAAACACCAACCAACTGGTCTACTGTTGTATTGAGATCAACGGCAGCTCGAAGCATACTCGATCGGCGGAAGCTGTCGATTTCTGGTAAATATGAGCCATAGAATTGATTCAGTGGCACCTCCCATAAGCCAGGAAATGACCTCAAAGTCACATTGTATTAAAAGGTATCAAAGTGAGTGTGTTCAGAAATGGGACAACTTCTCTCAGTCACAATAAACTTGCCGCGTAGGACATTGAGCGTCATAACAATCCCAAGGTACTGAATGATCCATTGTCTGAGGCCAAAATGGCTCAGTGTTTGTACCTGGGTCGACAGACATAGAATTGTCGTAAAGAAAAGAAGCTTGGATCATCATCTAAAGAATCAATTATAATTCATGTGTTCTTTACAAAGATCGTGCCCAGTAAGACGTCCACAACCTCGAACTGCTCATCTCCTCCTAAGGCCAGTTGAGGTGCACGCATTCCGATGATGTCCTCTTCGTTAACGTTTGCAAATCTAGCCATAATTCTACGCTGGCCTTCCATTTCATTGAGCCATCTGTTAGTACTGGCTCCTTCCAGAGACACGTGGCTTAATATAAAGTTGAATCATCGAAAATACAAGTGTTCGAATGGGACTTACGAAATCGAATTGGATGCGACTTCCATCCCTTGTTGGAAAAGCCATTGTACAGCGTCATAGTTGGTCCATTCATGGGAAACGAAAAACGTTGCTTTTATTGGACAACCATTTGGATTTCTGAACAGATAAGAAACTAGCAACAAGTGGCTTCAAGAGTTGAACTGTGAACTGAATGTTAAAAGAACGATATGACAAAAACATTGAATGTATACATTCGTTAAAAGAATTTTCAAAGTAGAAGTTTTTGTCACTTAAATTATGATGAACTACTCTTAGAATTCCTCGAATTGGTGGACTGAAATAGTAAAATTTTTGCGACGTTTTCTCATTTGGAGACTTCGAAAACCGGAGCAAATTATAACCGAAAAGAAACTCTGGTAAGCCAGCTATTTACCTATATTTTACTTTTTCGAATAATTCCAGATAATCGGGGAAAGTACGCCCATTCACGGCATCATCGAACGTGAGCACTACGAACTGAGGGATATCTCTCGGGGATAATCCACCAGGTGGTCGGCGTCCTAAAAATCTGATGAGAATATAACTCATCACTCTAATGTTACTGATGCGTCTTACCAGTTCTGGAGCAAAAGCAATTAGGTAGACGACAAGTGGCTTCGTCACACACTGAAGCGGGTATACGTGGCAAGTATACTTTTGTGCTAAAACGAAGCCCACCACCAGCCAGGTACTTAATCGGGGAGGATCGTGAAGCTGAAACAGTACCAATGGTTTTAGGAAAAATGGTGCACATTTATATAATAGGTATGAAAAGATTGGTGAGAAATAAAATCATATAGACATGAAACAGGTGACGTAAAAACGTATATCTTTTGTGGAGTAGTGTGTAAGAATTCCATTCGTTAACATACCGGTATGCCTACAGTAGCCGTCCTCAGCGTAGTGCTCACGATCACATTGACATGTTCCGCTTACACAAAACGAACTACCGGAACAATTTTCACCGTTTGTGCACGACTCACCGGGCCCAGAAAATGGCACTGCACCTACAAGGAGAAGGCTGTGCCCTACGTAGATGAACAATTCCAAACTATCTAAACAATATATATTCATAGGTACAAAAGAACTTTGGTACCTTTGCTTCTGCATATTCCGTTCACTATTAGATGATCAGCAGAGCAAATACATGTCTTGGAATCATTGTCACAAATAGAACCACCAGTGCACATCTTTCCTTTCTCACATGATTCATTCGGCTTGGCACGAGGGAGCTGGTCTTCTGAAACTCATTGATCAGTCGTGGTTCAATGATTGTCACTGTAGTGCTTGGAATCACTCTATGCAAAGCGAACCTATTCACTGACTGTTATTCTCAAATTCGCGTTAATAAAATCAGTCAAAGCACCAACCACGCAGACATTTTCCATCTCGCGCAAACGATTTTTCAGGGCATTGACAAAAACCAGATCGACACTCGCCACCATTAATACAGACATCATTGTTGCGACATTTTGTACCCAAGAAGCGGTGGCGGACCACTTTTGGTTTCGGTGACGATTTTGTTCCTTGAGTGTCCGGATCCGATTTTTTGACTGAATCTCATAAGCAAATTAAAAACATCGTTAACAATGATTCATTCTCATGACTTACGTTGCGGTAATGTCGTATCATACGACGCGACATCATTCTCCCGATGCAATTCAAATGTCGTTGAGAAATTGTTTGGTGGGAACACTGCTGTGTTTGTATATGCATACTGGGGGAAAACTGTAGTGACGACGCTATTCTTTGGAGAATGTGTTAAGGTAACGCCATTTCTTACATTCTGGAACGAAGATTTGCCAATGAGGATGGCAGTTACTAGTAAAAAAAATCCACAGTATAGGTCTTTACACAGAGGTTAAATTGCATCAAAACCTGATCTGGCGGGAGGGATTTAGACAACCACAAATGGTGCTGAGGTATCTGCAAAACGCCGGACCGCAGGTGTTTTGCGGTGGCGAACGAACGCTCTATCACCATTTCCGGAGGTTAACGTGCTCACCAACACACCATACGGGTCCTTCGTTTCGCCTGCCTCTCAGCTAGTTCTTCTATCGATGAGTGCCATTACAATCATCCGTCAGCGGGATGATGTGAACGCATTAGCTCCCGGCGAGGGCAACAGCGCGTTCCTTCCTCACCACCAAACACCTGCGGTGCGGACTTTTCTAAATAACTCAGCACCATTGTAGTTGTATTTCGCATGATACCCTGCCATGAAAAACTGTGGAAGGCAGCGAATAAAAAGTTAACATCACGAAATCTAGATAATTGAAAAGTTTGAAATCGATGTTGCTTAGCTTACGCTCTCCAAACTTCAGACATTGCATTGCAATTCTCTCAAATCCTTAGAAACAGAGTAGTCCCTTCACACTAGCTGCTTCTATAAAAATGCGGAGAAATAGTTCTGAACTCAACCAGGTATAACTTACCGATTTAAACTCCAAACGCTCGCACCACCCACTGGTACTCAGTGCCAACCCAGGTCCACACTTGCACACCGAGTCAATGCATTCTGCTCCAAGTGTACATGTGTCCTTACCGCTTTGACATAATTCGCCGTAGCTCAGTTTACGAAGCGCCAAACCTGGACAGAATACGCATCGTAGGGCTTCTGATAGTGGTAAATTTCAAATATTTTCGGTCTGTTACGTGTTCTTTTAATGTCACGGTGTGAATTTTGCATTTTTATTAGGAAGGCACAACATATTACAACAAGGTGAAATTAAGATCATTTTCTAAGAAATGGTTCATTGCGTAGGCTACAAGCTATTAAGTACGAACCGCTGCTTTATATGACGGGAAACTTGAACCAATCAGTTTAGCAGGAAGGCTGATTACCAAAGATCGATTTAAGTCACTGTTTACAGGGACAAACTGTACAGCATTATCACACAACTGAAGCGCACCACTCATGAAGCGACAGACGATGAGGTGGAAAATAGAAGAGGTAACATTTATAAACACACCCAGCACACTCAAACCAAGCAAAGGGACTACACAAAACAGTTTTGAGATATTCTTTGGGTCTGAAGGCTCAATTGGAACCCCTGTTAATAAAAGTGAGACTGTTGCTGTAACAATGACGTAAAGAACATCTCAAGTGCAATGGACGTAGGTCTACCATGATTTGCAGCAATTGTACTCTTCTGTTGCAAACCCGCCCGACGTAATGTAGCAGTATGAGCGAGGAGGGCAATTTGGCTCGAGTCCATTGCACATGATAAGCCTTCCAAAACTATCACGAGTTGGCTCATTACCCGGTGGACATGCACCGTTTCCGGTGCCGGTCTTATAGTTTCCTGCACCGGACCCAGTGTCGGATTTGTTTTGTGGTTTCGGTTGTCGTATCGGTGTACCCACGACACGTGGCTGTTGAATAGTTTGCCTAGAGTGTGTTCGGGGTAAGGTCATTATTGATGACGAGGTAGATTCGTGGATTTCGTCGCGATCGAATATACGCTCCGATGACAACGTCTCCGCTTTGTGTTTCGCGTATGAGATCGGTATAGAACGCTCCCCGATCTCTATGTCTGAAAAGTTGGTTAGTGTTAGCACAAGTTCCAATAGTTTTGAGCAGTCTTTATAATGCTTTCCGACATTACATACAATCCTTCTAGTCATTCGTATTACCAAACTAGTTAGTTATTAGGAAGAAGCAACCCTTGGTGAGTAATAAACATTTAATGCTTTAGAAATAAAGAAACAGTAATAGAAGCAAGCGAAGTATCATCACCCTGCTAACAGTCACATCATTATCCTTAAATTTTTCAAAAGCACTTGCTACTACTACAAGTTGAATAACGAGCAAGTGGTTGCGTTCATATAGTAAAGCATCGTTTGAATAATGGTTCAATAACAGCAGCATATGAATACTCCTTTGAATTTTCTGCAGAATAGATAATGTGTAACAGAAAATACCCCACCTTCAAGAGGTTTACAAACACCATTGTGGTCAAAAAATCCAGATTTACATTTACATCTTCCCATCACGCATGCTTTGTGCTCCCCACATTGTGTATCACTGAGACATTCGGACATTACTGGAAGTAGAACAGTACATTTCGCAGGATGCCTCGTTTATCAAATCCCAATCATCAGCCAAACATACTGTAAGAAGGTGTAGTTGGAGTGAGAATCTTCTGAGCAGAAGACAATGTTGTACTGATGGATGAAAGAGTCATAACTGGTTTAATCACTGACGAATGCGTTGCTGGTAAGTGGCATTGAGCTCCGATCACAGTGTGACCCGGTGGACACATACAAACGCCGGCGTCTCGATCACAACTGAAGTAATGTTTCGAATTTATACGCTGTCATGAAGCCCATGTTACAATCTGCAGGGAGCACTCTATACGTCATTACACAACAGCTAACCGACAAAAAAAAATTCATTTAACTACTACTGTATAGTGACAGTGGGTAAAAATAGTCGAACAACAGACAGGAACCGGAATAGCATGGAAACGATTTCATGACTAGAAACTCATCATCGTCATTATCACATCAGGAGTCGCTTCATTCCGGTGGGTGACTAGGTTTCCAGTCTTTCCACACCGTATAAAGTAAAAAAAAGTGGTTTTTATAAAACTACGTCGTACACACATCATGGCCCAGATGTTAGATAAATTTAAAGCTCCAGTGAAGTACTACAGATCTACAAATTGATCTCGATTCACCATGTCATTGTTCGCCATCCTCACAGCTGCCGTGGCATTTAGCAAGCTTCACGTTCTTCAAAACAGAAATTATTAGTATTGGAAGTGCAGTGGTCACAAATGGCAACTGAGTGATACTTATACCGAATCTGGCCCAAATGACACCTATAACGAGGATGAGCTTCTCCTCGATTTGGTCCAGCGTCTCATCGCGATAACACGAGGGTGCATTTTCTAAGCAAAATCTCTCAAGTTAAGGAGCTCTACATTTCCACTTGGAAGTACAGTCAAGAACATGCCAGTACCACGTGTCGCGGCCGTTCTAATAACAACAAACTCACTAGCTGGTAAGTGCCGACCACTTCCGAGTTACCGTGGAAGGAATGGGTTACAAAGAAAAATTCGCGAATCGTGAACACTGATCGCTCAACATTCGATTATCAGAGTGTAGACACAACCTCCTAACAATTCCTAAACCAAAGATCCGCAATATTTTTTAAAAGTGGATCTCCCTAACTTTCTTTGATAGGTATACGATTAAGTCGAAGTTGAAATGCACGACATTCTCTGCCATCATTAGGATGCGTGGGTCGGTCGGTTAATACCATAATCACTCCGTTTTTTCTTCAACTAACCAACTTAGGTGGTACTACAAAATGGATTTGAATGCAGTAATATGGGAAATTTGCAGATAGAAAGTGAATAAAGCGACATGTCGCTACGAAATTGATCGGGCCTGGTGAAGTGACTCTTTACGCGTTATGCCTTTTTTTCTTCGTTTCAAAATGCTGAATTACTCAACAACATACGTGCTTCCTTGCGTGCATACTGTGTTTCTGTCGCATGGCTGTCCAGGAGCGGCGATACCACTGAATTGCTGCATAGTACACTCATCTCCATGCAGGATTGGCTTCTCTGGTGGACATGTGCACAACTTAAATATTTCATGAATATTGCGCACACTTTTGGTGCTACTACAAATACCAACCCCTCTTTCATTGCAATAGCTTCCACCAACACAGATTTCACCACCGTTACACCTCTGACGTGGACGTGCATAAATGGGAGTTCCTATGAAAACACTTAATTTAAAGAGAACTCAGAACAAGGAAGTTCTCAAGAATGAAGGTGATAGTTGTTTTGCCAGTAGCAAAATTAAGAATTTAAAGCACTCACATGGTCTGCTAGAGCATATATATGTATGTATTTTTGTTATTTTATTTTCATTTTATTTGAACCGTCTTCCCGTCCACCGTGTCTCAGCACTTCTCACATCCAATTCGTCTCCTCGCAGCCATTATCCATGAAGATCTTCCAACTTTTACGTGTGACTTCGGTTGCTACTCGAGGATTTTCATTTCAACTTGAATGTCGTAAAATGCTGTCGAGTACTTTTCCCTGCAGTCCTGAGATAACCGGGCTGGAGCGTCCCCAATTGGAATGCAAGAGGTGATTTTTTTTCTCAAACAACTCCGGTACCAAGTTGCCAACCCCGGAGGGATGAGAGATTTGGATGACCCGGAGCGGAATCGAAACAGCACCATGCTCGTGATGACGGACATCATTTCCACTGTGCTATCCGCCCTTATATATATATATATATATATATGCACATGTATTAGGTCGTTCAGAAATAAATGAGCGTCTTAAAAATTTATTGTTTTAATGCATTTTTCAACAATAAAATATTCTTTGTACCCTGCAACATTATATATCATTACAAAGCTATTTTTATGTTGTTTCTAACATGCTTTTATGTTTTGTCAATAGGTAATTTTTTTTTCCAATTTCGAGCTTTGCAATTTTAAGTGTCAAAAATGAACATTGGTCAGTATTCTTTTAAGAGTTCAAACTCGGTCGTAGTGTAGCAGAGACTGCTCGAAATATTAATGAAGTTTGTGGTGGAGGCAGTGTTGGTGAATCAACAGTGCGAGCATGGTTCCGGAAAATCCGATCTGACGATTTCGACTTCGAAGATGAGGAAGGCTGCGGAAATCTCAGGAGCTTGACGACGGCGAATTGAAGGCACTAGTGGAAGCAAACACACGGACAAATGTTGGAGAGCATGCAGAATAGCTTGGCTCAAGCACGGGAACAATTTCCATTCACCTGAATCGCATAGGAAAGACAAAAAAAGTAGAGAACTGGGTGCCGCACGAACATCACAAAAAATCGCCGATTTGAAGTGTCATGTGCTCTTATTTTTGAGCAATAAAACGACCATTTTATTGATCAACTATGAAGTTCGACGAGAAGTGGACTCTGTACGACAATCGACGACGCTCATCTCAATGGTTGGATTTCGATCAGACTCCACAGGACTTCCCAAAGCTGAAATCGCACCAAAAAAGGTTGTGGTGACTGTTTGATGGTCCGCAACCAGGCTGATTCATCACAGTCTTTTGAAACCGGAAGAAACATTCACAGCAGAAAAGTATTGCCAATAAATTGATGGAATGCACCGCAGACTTCAGCTGCAGCGACCGGCATTAGTCAACAGAAATGGACCAGTACTTTCCCATGACACCGCCCGACCTCACGTTGCAGAACCTGCGCTGCAGAAGTTGAGCGAGTTGCTCAACGAAACTTTGCCATATCAAGCATATTCACCAGAACTCTCGCTTACCGACTATCACTTCTTCAAGCACCTTAGCAAATTCGTGAGTGAGAAATGCTTCAGCAACCACGATAACTCAAAAAATGGCTTCAACGAATTTAACGTTTCCAGTAAACTTGTTCCTCGTTGGCAAGGATGTGTAGTTTAAATGGCGTCTATTTTGTTTAATACAGTTTTATTTGAAGCAAGTTATGACGTTTTAAATACTGCAGTTAAAAGCGCTCACGTGGTTCTGACCAACCATACATACATACATATATATAAGACATATATAGTCATAAAAAAGGATAAATCTTTTGGCGTGATCAATCCCTGAGGAATTCGCCATGCATTCGATTTCATTAAGCATCGTTTGGAGGTGATTGCATGCATATCTAACCTTTACAATGACCCGTAATGGTCCACCGATGTATCGACCCAGTGCTGCTATTCTCCCAGACTAGTCCGGTACCAATTTGCCGACCTCGAAGGAATGGAAGGCTGGGTGGGCTATGGTTGCGAGGATCGATTCCACGTGTGTTTGCAGAGCGCCTCCGACCATTGCACCACACGCGCCCGTCATATTTAGTCATATAGTGTATATATATGTGTGAAAAAGTAAGCCAAGCTATATATCAAATATATAAGCCGCTACTACGTGCACAAAGGCATTAACGTAATTTTGCTAGAATGTCAAAATAGTAGAGCTAATAAAATAATTACATACAAGGCGAAACCAACTTGACGTTTTCTGTTAGTGTTCATTCTTCGACGGTCAATTTTATGTGATACAAAACTACTGTAATCATGCAATGAAATTTTCTAGATACTGATAACTAACGGTATTACAGGCAATGCTCCGTCCACAGAATAAAACTGTTGTTACGTACTCTTTTTTTACGGCAACGAAGTTGTGCTAATAATGGATTATACCGATAGTGCTGTTGATGCATTCATGACGAAAGCAACTGGCATAAGAAGTACCTCTCACTAGAGTCGCTGAGTGCACATAAAAAACCTTATGGTATACATAGTACCTGGATTTAGAACTAAAACAGAAGACATCGAAGGCATCGATGTTGTGGCTGGCTCACATAGACCGTTTGCTGATGGTTTCATACCAGCTGCACACACACATGAACCATCCACACACGTTGAACCTCCATCGCAAGAATCCAGTGGTCCTTAAAATAATTGGTCTTTGGAAAAACGATTTTAAAAAACTTAGATAACTATTGCTAAAGATCTAGGCAATTGTCATTTCATTATCTTTTTTTACTTTTCAGTGATGAATGAATTTAAGGCACGTTCAATAATTTATGAATCTCCGAAGTATTTTCGGAACGTAGTAGTTCAACTTTGAACTGTGGTTTAGGGATAAAAGAGGAAAAGAATGAAACAGTCAGTGTCCAGTTAGTAAGACATGGAATCCCACTCACCACAGCTCGATCCAGGAGCAATTTTCCGTTCATGCATTGCATGAATGATGTTTACATGACTGCCAGTTGATTGAGTTTGACCTTTAGAAGTCATCTAGAATGAATACATTTCTTTGTAATCTCTTCGGTACACTATAGTATTTCTAAACCCTTTCTTATCTTGCTTAACATTCAAGTAATGCTTGCTTAATATAACGTATTGCATTTGTAAACAGAACACGGTTGTTCGCATGAGCGCACGCATGCTTGCAAGTGTGGTAAGAAGAAAGTTTTCATAAGGAAACAGTCGTAAAGACTTGTAAAACATGTGAAATAACGCATTATTTATTAAAGACAGTAGTTTACTAGACAGATTGTGTCAAGGATGGGTACACCAATATCTTTTGAATGATGAGGTTCTAAAATTGCATCCACTACCAGTTCATTTGTTATTAAACTCGTTGCCGCTGGTTCGATTCTGCGGCTAAGGCTCACTAAGCCACCTATCCCTCGAAGATCTGCAAATGGACACCAGACTCCTCTAGGAATATAAGAAATAGAAGTGGATACATCGCAAGTGCAGCTCTGGGTTATTATATAAGCGAAATATGCATTCAATCCTCATATCTGAAGTCGAATGCATGACGCATTTTTTTAGCATCAGCTAACGCTGAAAACTTGTTTAAGTAACGAACCACAGATGGAGGTGTTGGTCGCGGTCCTGAATGTATACAAATGCCACGTTGAACGATCATTGAGGGATCAGGGCAAACACACCAACCATTATGGCACACAGAACCATTAATGCACACTCGACCATCTGTACATGAACCGCCAGGAGGTGAAGTGAAGGACTCATTTGCTAAATAGAAGTTCATCCTAAAAAGCAACTCTCAAAGCCATTAGAGAGCGTGGACTTAGCATTTGAAGATAATTATATCTTTTTGAGCAGTAGATGTCAAGTAAATCGCAAAATATCTTTTTACATTGGTACATTAAGCTCACTGGGTAGGCATAACGTCATGGATACGGATTCTATTGCATGGCTGGTAGGTGTCAACCAAGTTAGAAAAACCCAATAACGATTACGTATTTTGTCCCAAACCTATAAGAGATTTGTAGTTGCGAAAATGTGAAATTACTCTTTTGAGTGCAAGAAGAACCATGCCTCATGCGCGAAAACCTCCGCGATCTCAATCTTCCTTTTCAATTGTTGAGTTAACATTGTAAACAAACAACAGTTGTCAGAAGTCCTAATATTGTCATCAAACACAGTGAAGTTGAGATATGTGCAAAACTTTAGACTGCAGGTGTCCGCGGAGGGGATCTAACCCACTATTATCCTTCCCGAGGGGTAAAGTGCTCACCACGACACCATAAGGGTCATTTGTTTCGTCTTTCTCTCAGGCGTGTTCTAACCTGTAGGTGCTATCAGCACTAACTCGTCAACGGGATTGGTGTGAGGAGCACAAATCCGTATTGAACTTAGTTAAGCTGAAGCTGCAGTAGAAATCACAATGCAGTCACTTTTTATTCACTGCCTATTCTTTATTATGGCAGTGTATGATGTTAAATATAAAATATAGCCACAAAGATGATAAGATGTTTGCAGAACTCCGCGCAGCAAGTGTCTGTGAATAAGTGAGTAGGCAGCGAATAGAAAGTGACTACATTGTAATTGATACTATATCTTCAACTCAACAGGATTCAATGCAGATTCTTCTCTCCAGATCAACCTCGTTTACGGTTCACTGCTGATATCACATACAGTTTTAAACACGGATGAGAGAAAGGCGAAAAGAATGACCTGCATGGTGTGGTAGTGAATACGTTAGCTCCCTGAAAGGGTAATAGCCTGTTCAATCCTCACCGAAGACACTTGCGGTCCGGTGTTTTGAAAATATCTCAGCATCAATGTGGTTATGTTTCACATCATACCACTGTTATGAAAAAGGAATAAGCAGTGAATAAAAAATGACTAATATGTCACCTACGTTACAGCTCAATTTCAAAATGGCTATTCAAAGTAGTTATCGTTGAGGGAGAATACGCATGCGCGAAAGACTAGCAGGCATTTCACGTTTGCTAAAGCATTGTAAGGACCCCATTATATGTCGAAGTGATCAAGAGAATTAAAGAACGCCAGCATTTTGTACGGACTCAGGTGCAGAATGCTGAGAATCACTCATAGAAACGTCTAGCCACATTGGAAAAGCTTGCAACCTTGATGTTTGAGCTCTAGCATGTTACACACTAGTGTGCCGTCTCTACAAATTAGTATACCGTCTTCTAAGTGGACAATATTTATTATGGTAAGAATATCCTTAGAATTTTTTCTCTGCTTAAAAATGGGAAGAAGATTAACGTCTAAGTTTCGGTATGAAAAAGCATTTTGAGTACTAATGTATGTACATTGACGGTTCATCAATACGAGGAAAAATTGATACTATAATGTTAAATTCAACTTATCATGAGTTCTGGATATGGTTTAAGGTCAGTCAACGTTGGAAAAAAAACGGTTAGTAAAGGGAGGAAAACAAGATCAGTTAAGAAAACACACCATCACATGAGACATCAACATAGTGACAAACACAGCGACCGAGTAAACACGTGAGACCATCACGACATCTTTGCCTATCAGAGCAACGTTCATTAGGGCCCAAGTTTTCCATTCTCGACACACAAACGCCGTTCATTGGTATACTATCGAAGTCGCAAACACAATATCCGTTCAGACATAACGACCCCATAACACAAGTTTTTGTTTCGGAACATGAAGCACCGGGTTCCGAGCTTGTCACAGATGCAAACCCAAGATCGTTAGGATTTTTCGACCCTACAATGATATTGTTTTCTCTATGCAGGTCATGTGGACTGCAAAGGCCATGATTATTTTCGTAGCCGCCGTTGCAAACGCATACGCTTTCGTTACAGATTCCGTGTTCGGGACAGTGGCTATCTTCACTACATGAAACACCGTCTCCAACGAACATCATTTGGAGGCAATGAGTGAGCGTTCCGTGACAAACGCATAACTGATCTACGCATTCGTAATGTTTGGTGCAGTCAGCATCTGTATTACATTCCTGATTAGTTGGTCTCCTGCGTACTTCGTTGGTTACTCTGACACACTTTCCTTCGATAAGAAGTTGGCCGTTTGGACATGTGCAAATTTGATCTCTGCATTCACTTCCATCTCTGCAAACGTGTTTTGAGAAGCATTCGTCTCCTGGATGTTTGAGGATTTCACTAGAAACACATCTTCCATCTAAGATCTCGAACGTTGCTTTGCATACGCACACACCTCCGCTGCAAAACGAGTTGTCATTGCAAATAGAATGGGGGCCACAAGTAGTGCCTGGACCGGACGTTCGGTGAAAATCTAGAAAATTTTCACTTTCCACACATCTTCCAAGTTTCGATGACCGTCCTGGTGGACAAATACATATTTTCAGTGATGCTGCACACACTGATCCATCAACACAGATTTGCCCATCACTGCAATCGTCTCCAGGTCGAACCGTCCTTACGCATATCCCAAGTACATCACGCCTATTTTCTTCACACATACAGATATTCTGCACGCATCTGCTTCCACCAAGACAAATCTCCCCAATTTGGCACAACTCTCCTATTCCAGCAAGGTTCACATTCCGTGGTGCTTCAACACACTCACCTTCCAATAGAACTGTGTTCAATGGACACTGGCAAACCAGTCCCATCCCTTGGATATTCGAGCATTCGGCCCCACCAGTGCAGAACTCAAAGTTCTGACAGTTTTCCAGTGGAGAGGCGAACTGCCGATCCTCATTGGTGTCCTCTTGGCTCATGAACCGTTCGTCATTGTGTCTTGCGCTAAAACCCATTCGTTCCTTCATGGTACAGATCCCATTCTCAGCGAAAGTGTTATGTGGACAACGACAAAATTGATTTTGGCATATGGAATTAGCGATACAAATGGAATTATCACCACAGAAATCTCCAGGTAGCGAAACTTGAAGTTTCAGAGGAGCTTTTATTACGTCAGAGATTACATCGCCGGACTTTGTGCTGGCACCTTTCGCAAATGGAATAGGAAAACTTCCAAAATTATCCGAATGAGTCGAAGGATGTGAAAATGATGATGGAGGCGGTTTTTGCAGGTCAGAATTTGCATAAATTGATTTTGGCTCGGATTTGGTCGGATAATAAAAAGGAGGTTTTGTTAAATCCAACGGAAGAATTGCTGTTGCGTATTGTTCGCTTGTTTTAGGAAATGATTGTAAATCTTGTGATTTCGGCTTCTTTAAGTCAAATTCTACAACGTTCTCCACACTTTCAGTAGGTATCCCGGCAATAGGGACACAAAAATTATTAAGTAATTCGTAACCAACTTTACACAGACATAAGCCATTATCACAATAGCTTGACCTATGACAGTTTCGAGATGTAACACAAGCCAATCCTGGAGTCGACGTTGTTCGCTCGCACTGGTTGTTTATCGTTGCCATACCATTTGGGCACTCGCAAACTCCACTAACCAGGTTACAGTAGCTATTATAGGAGCAGATCTCTCCATTGGTACACTCCATTCCGGGATACGCTACTTCATCGCAGGGTTTTCTAGGGCTTACCGCCGAGCTCATACAGCCTTCAGAGATCGGCTCACAATAGTTTTCGTTCGCTTGGTATCCAATCAAACATCTGCATAATTGTTGAAAACAAAATGCATTTACTGGACAATCATCGTTGGCTTTACAAATATGGGCATATATAGCCTGATCTTTTCCAGATTCTAGAGCATTTGGATTCGACTTTAGTGAGGCTTCAAAAACTTTGGACTCTTTCATTTTATCTGCCTGTATCAGTAGATTTTGTGACGTACTCGTAAATACTACTGGATTTGGATAAAATCCCATGGTAGGATAAGGATTGTAAGGCAATGTTCTTTCGGTGAACGTCGGAAACTTGTTAAAAACTGCATACACTTGTGATTTCCTGACGCATTTGTTGTTTACATCTGGAACTTCGCCTCGTGGACACTTGCATACGCCATCGATGCAGCTGGCTCCACCACTACAAATCTGTTCAACACCACATCTAATACCTGGATTCACCATCACCATTTCAGCCATTGTAACACACTCTTTGCCGTTGTTTATGAGATGCCTAGTGCACGTGCAGATACCATAAAAGCACTGAGACTCTCCAACACAGTCGTAGCCTTTACGTGGGTCACATTTTCCTCCAGGAAGCACCTGATGTATCGCTTTCCTACACGTGTTATCTACAATCGTTTCACCTTTCTTACATCTACACACGCTTCTAAGGCACTCAGTCCTATACGGGCACTCGATAGTAAGAGCACAGATTGTGCCGGGTTGTAATAAACCACTGTTTTTTTTAGGCGCTGAGGCACTTGTGCTATACACTTTATTTCCTTCATTACATGTTCCTGTATCATCAATAACTCCATTCCCACAAGTACAACTCCGATTTATGCACTTAGATCCTCCAGTACAATTCGTTCGAGCATCACATGGCTGCCCAGGAGCAGCAATGAGCAGTTTTTCGATGATTTCGTTTGCCTGTTCATGACTACCAACGCACATCTCATTGATAATCACTTCCGAATCTTTGCACACACAGAAGCCCTCTCGACACTGCGATCCACCAGAGCATAAGTCTTTGTCATTACATTTAATTCCTGGGCTTTTCACGGCTCCTATCGGAATCGATGACGTAACGCTGGTTGTAGTCGGATATAGGTTTTCCCTTCTTACACACCTTCCTTTCGACGCAGTGTATTTAGCAATGCACATGCACATTCCGAAACGGCACACACTGCCATGAACGCACTTCTGACCATGTTGACATGACTTGCCTGGAACAGAAGTGCCCACAACGCACCTTCCAGCGTCAATAAAGTTACCAACAGGACATCGGCATAACCCGAACTCGCAAATCGAACCTCCGTCGCAAGTCTGACCATAGGTGCATCGACCGCCTGGTGACTGACGACAGCGGTCATGATATTCAATCGACCCATCAACGCACTGGCAAACGTGGCCACGACAAGTGGATCCACCAGAGCATCGATCTCCGACCGTACATTGACTGTTGATGTTCTTGAAGGCTTCCGTTAGTGATGTACACGAACCACTCTGAAATATTAGCTCGTAAGGTAAGACTAATTCTACGTCTTTTGCAGCTCACTATTGAAAACACTAAGCCATCACGTAACCGAATAATGGTTTTTATTGCTTTTAATCTCATTTTCTTCTTATAATAGTTTGGTTGGAAACGAGTCACAGTTTAGCAATTCTTTCAATCCCTCTTTATCAAGCTTTCGCATATCCATGTAGGAATAAAATTGAGCTATAGGAAGTCTGCTGCACCAAAATCAGTATATAGCCACCAAAAAGAAGGATTGTACATTACCACAAACAGAACAACCACAATTTCGACTATGTGAGAATAATAGAATATCGTTAATGTTCAGAAACGAGAAGTTCCAAAGTAAAAGACTAGTATTTCTTCTTCCATTTCATTTTCTTTCCTCTCTTTTCCCTCTTTTTCTTCTTCATTATGAAACTAAAATAACCTACAATTTTGCCGCTACGAGTCGGATTGTAACTCATAGTTGGTCTTTTTGAAAAGTTGTAGAAATAATTAGGCAATCACCTGCAGAGTGAATCTGTCATTGCATTGACATCTCCCAGCTATACATCGCCCATCTGGGCATTGTCTATCCGTCTGGCAGCGACCATCGCTGAACCTGGGTCCCATCACAAACGGCTCAGCAGTACAACCACCAGGTATGGCACAAGTACAGACATTATTGGTACAAACAGCATTGTCCGCACATCGTGGCGAAATGTGATTCGGATCGCATTTCTCATTAAGACGAACGATTTCTGGAGCACAAGCACCATCTCTCTCAACAAATCCGTTTATGCAGTGACATACGTTGTCCACACAGACTCCGTTTCCAGCGCTGCATTGTGCAGCACCTGGCCAGCACACCATCGACTTTTCGATGATATGGCGTCGACCACGATGACGGCTTCGTGACATTTTCAAAGGCAAACATGATATATCTACACATTCACAACGGTTATTTACACACGATCGTGGAGGCTGGCATGCTTCATCACATAAGGTTAATTCTTGGTCAGGTTGATTATTTGAGCAGATTCCATTGTTGAGTGAGTAAGTATCAGGGCAGAGACAAAGTTTGTTAATACACAGGAAACCGTTAGAGCATTGCGGATAATCGTTGAGCAAACCACACTTCTCGTTAGCATCTGCTTTTTCTGAAACAAAGCTTATCCAAAATGGCGGACAAATTTAGTAACACTAAGTGATTAGTGATTAGTGGACAGGCAAAAATTCCTATTATAAGGGACAGTCAACATCGTTTTCTCGCAATTCTCAACAGCGACTTTAGACATATAAAATATGTATATGATAATTAACACAAGTATAGGCTTCCTAAAAACGGCAGAGTAATGAAATAGTTTAAAAATAAAGGTAAAGCAGCGACATCATAATCAATTAAAGCATGAGGAACCCCACAGAGACTTTACCCAGCACTTTACCTTAAAATGACTGGAAAAAAAATCGACACTTTAGGCTTTTTTTTACGCAGAAAGGGGGTGTATCAAAAAAAGTCTAAATAGCACTTTACAAAATCCGAGAAGTATGAGACTATACCTAACACACAAGTCTGATCGACTTCCTTGAATCCTACAGGACACACACAGATACGATCCACGCAGGACGTCCCTGTATAGGCTGCAGTACACTGCATGTCGCTACGACACCCAATTTGACCCGGGTAAAGAACTGAAAATAAGTACCGAGAAGGGTGAGAACATTAAAGAGGGCCCTTGCTGCAAACTAAAAGGCATGTGTCATTAATGGCGTAAAATTAGCAATAGGCCATAAAGCTACGAAACAGGAGAAAATAAACACTTGAAAAAGAACAAGTGATTTCATTGGTTCTTGTCACGGTACTTCGTCATAGACCCGCCCACTTAGGCATTTAGAAATATTGGCAATTAAAAAATCCGATAAGAGACACTGCAGCAAATTACAAATCATTATCAATAGGAAACCAGTATCATGAACAGCCGTCCTGTATAAAAAAACGTAACCGGGCGAGGTTGCTTCATTCGAGCGGGAGATGGTTTGACTCGATAGAAAATGAAGGCATCCCACCGAGAAGACGAACAACTGCGGACCATCGACTCATGTCATCAGTTTTGGGGAAGAGGAAGACGTCGAAACCTTAGACGACTACGCCATTTTACCAACCTCGTCTTAACTTGGTAATGTAAGGATGTATATTGGTTAGCCATGCAGAGGTTAAAGAAAAGACGGTTTTTGAAATACCAGCAGTTATTTTAAAAGAAAAGGGTAATCGTGGTCCAATCTGGCCTGAGGTCCATGCTTCGCGAATAACTCTGAACCACTGTGGTTGGATCTCACACAATAACCTGGGGTGAGAATTACTGTAGGCAGTGAATAAAAAGGTCACCTAGTTTTTGGAATTTTGCAACCGAGATTATAGGACTTAGTCAATTGGTTTTGTTTTCTTTTAAGGTTTATAATGCGTTTCTTTGATCTATCTGTCAAGTCACATAGTAACCACTACTTCTGGAAGATAAGCAGTGCGAAAAGAATACTTTCAAAGTCTTCTTTACAAACGATTCTTCAAGGGTATTTCAATTATTGCAAATTATTGCTCGTTAGCTCTTGCATGAATGAAATTCCGAAAAATGAATTCATTTTCACAGTGATGGCTTTTCACTTGCGCAGTTACCTCGTTCGCAATGCCCGTCGACGTCGACGTGAGTAGAAAGGCACTGACAAGATGGTGGATCCGTGTTTCCATTACAATAGGCTCCGATCATGCAGTCGGTGTTCAGCGAACATTTCACCCCCGCACCAGATTGTTTCTTACCTTCAACGAACAGATCACAATGGTTAATCAATATCAAAACTTATAGTACTATAGTATAGTATTATTGGATCTATAAAAAGCAGAACCCTATCTAGCTGAATCCACAAACCTGATGAAACCATCATACGATTTGATTTAGCGAACGTTTTAATCGTTTGTGGCATCGTTGTGGAATAGTACTGGGCGTGAGCTTCTTGGTTTGGCATCAGTGATGCCTACAACAAACATTAAGAACTCAAAAATAATAGAACGAAAGGCAATTCTAAAAATTAGTGTAGAAATAATAGATAACATGCCACTGTCGTCTCGTTGTGTGGATTCTAAGGTATACCATATCTACCACCAAATGGTGAGCGCAAATAAAGTGTAACAAATTGGGCGGATTTGGAAAACTGCTGAGACGACATAAAAAATGATAATAGGTTGGACCTCGATGAGTAAACTTATAATTACATACTTGAGGTGCGGATGTGATGTGAATCGATGGTGATGTCGTTGTAGAGACAGACATTGGCTGTGAGTGGTTAGAAGGGTATTGACTTGAAGTTTGAGGTAGCTGACCTTGCTTGAATGGGGCCATTGGAACATTTGTCATCGCCGATGATACTGAAATTATTAACGGAAATAACATAGCTGAAAATACTGGAAATTTACCTGGATACCTTCACTTTATATAACAAAGTTTTTAGACAGTAATAAAGACGACAAATGCATAGCGACTTGCACGAGCTACAGCTATGAGATAAGAGTACTGAAGTAGGTTAACAAAACGGTTACAGGAGCCACAATGCATCTTAGGCGACTTTTGAGGGATTGCAGTAAAGGATTGCAATCCATATGGTAGATATATCTCTGTAAATCACGCTGCAGTACTACCTCAGTACTTACCAGATAATCTCGAAATCGTCATCACATCCACGCAACTGCCATTGTTTAGATCAGTATTCGGTGGGCAAACACATACGGGTATTGTTGAATCACACACAGAACCACGTGCGCAGATATTTCCGTCATCACAAGGCTCACCAGGTCCTGATTAGTGGAGTGGTGTTAATGACTAGTTCCAAGGTAACTTTGTCAGTAGAAAATTTAATTAGTGCCTTAGCAAGCGCAAATTTGTTTACAAACGGTTGGGTTTCGATCACGCCTACGGAGGTGCCTGATAATAAAATCTCAAATGGTCAATCATGTACAGTATAATCAAATGAAAGAAAATATTACTTAAACGCTAAATGAGAAGATCTAGCCTGTTTAGAAAAAAGTGTGCAAATTGAGAAACAATGAAACTCGTAACGACAAATTAATGGTGATCGAAGTGTACAATATGAAAGCACGCACAGGAGTAAGTTGGCCCAGTTTTGCTGGAGAAAACGGTCTGGTAGAAAGCCTTGGGTTCACACCTACAAACGTCTACCGCAGTTGCAACGCACAGTGAATGGATTGAAAAAGGAATTGCATTTCGAAAAGTGAGAATCGCCTTAGTGCAGAATCAATTCCATAAGCAGTGTTATGTTTTTCGAGATCACTTCGAATGATTGCTAATTAGGAAAGAACATTCATCTGGTTAAAAACACTAGCATATACTGTAATTTCTCACAAATCAAACACACGAAACTACTAGATGGATGAAATTATTGTTCAAGTAGCTCACCGACTTCCCTATGTTCTTGCATTAAAACACAAAAATTGTTGTGTTGGATTAGCGGAGCCACACAAGCACAATGTCCCATCACACAAGATGAACCATGATCGCATTCAAACAAGTCCGAGCATGGTGAGCCAATACCCACTACAAAATGGTAAATAGTAGTGGCATACTCTAGTAAACCGATTGAAACAACTAGACCGGAGACAGTACTTACAAATAATTCGAAAGACCGACCTCCTATTAACCTCGGCATAACGCGAGGTTGGTACAGGTCTTCGTTACCAATGTCGTTGTTTTTGATGTTATTGATCGATAGCTGACGTTTCGGCGACTTCGCCTTCCTCAGAGTCGTGATGTTACGTGCGGGGCTCTGAGGAAGGCGAAGGCGCCGAAATGTCAGCCATCGATCAATAAGATCAAAAACAGCGACAACGACAACGAAGACCTGTACCAACCTCGCGTCAGCTTAAGAATATCAGTTTATAAGGTAACATAAATAAAAATACTTACAAATAGATGACACAAAAATGGTGATCTCAGTTTAGAAACAGCAAAGAGAAAACACAGCAAAATAACAGTTTCTGACTACCCCCTTAAAGGATAAAATCACGCCATTTTGCTAAAGTAAGTTATTGATATTATTAAAGCTAACTCGTAGATGTGACTGAGAAAATACAAGCATTTACAAGCGCAACGTAACGCGACGCTGAAATCAATACGTATACATTGTACTTGATGGCGATGCTTTTGCTGCAGTTTGTGAAGCAATGCAGGCAGTTTTGACAATCCGCTTACGGAATCTCATTAAGATGTTGATGCATTCATAATGATGTGATACAAATATTTAGAAGTCGTGCATAAAGTGTAAACAAAGGATGAAGGCAGAAAAAGCAAATAACCAATAAAAACCGATTTATGAAGCCTACGAGGAAAAGAAATGCTATCAGACCTTTAGTGATTTGCATCGTAGCCGTTGGCGGCAAAACACATTCACCATCTCTTTCTTCCAGTTCTCCGGGACAAAGGCAAAGTGCAATCGGATGCGTGCAAATGGAGCCGCCCGTGCAGATTTCGTTTTCACGACATGACTGTCCAGGACGAGCTGTATGAGAAGGAAAGAAGAGTGCAGAAGAAAACTTATCCACGTTGATCATGCGTTTTTGTAATTTTTTGGTCCCTTTGAAATGCTACCAGCCCATAAATCACCTAAGCTGCCTTTGAAGAGAAAATACGCACAAACGTTCTGAGAGGCTCGTTTATTTATCACTTGCCACAAGCGTCTATTTATCACAGTCTGTTTCGAATCGATGTAAATATCTTAGCGTTTCTAGCAAAACAGTGTTTAGATGGAGTACCCAGACTTAATGATAGTGCTCATCTTAAGCACCAACTTTTATTTCCCGATTTTTCAAAAAATTTTACAGGATTTTTGTAGGTGGAGCTCTTAGTGAACTTTTTATTGAATACGTTATAAAAGGAGCTTAATTGCAACAAATAGTGTTTGAAGAAAACAAAATAAATAGCGTTTGAGTGAAATATAGGAATTCCTTGCAGCCGAATGTGTTTGCAATTTCCTCTTTGTTTTATGTGGCTATCAGATATGTTTCTAGTAATAAAAAATAGTGACTCGTTCCGATAGATTAAAGCCATAAAAACCGTTCGATGTTGATATATCCCTTAGAAATGTGTAATGTGTTCGACATAATTAACTAACACAGAGGTTACTGAATGCACATTGGCGTATGAAATGGCTTTCTTTGGCGTATCGATGTGTGTTATTTTCCCAGATGAAACTAGCTCTGATTTGTCCATCCCAAAGGAAGAGAGAGAGGTTTTTTAGCCCTACGTGAAAGGGATTGAACCACTGTTCATCTGTATTCCAGGGCACCATTTGCTGCTACCCTATATATCCCACAACCTACTTTCTATCAACCTTCGCATTGATCAAGTAATTCTTCGAATTCTTGTTGAGCAAACGCGAGGTGTTATTTCATTCTTTATTCACGGATAAGCTGTCGTTTCGGCGGATTTGGCCTTTCTCAGAGCATGGAAAGGTCAAGTTGACAGCAATCTATTCGGTCAAACACCTCCACAACCAAATAGGGAAAATGCTAAGTCTATATTTCAATCACATTGAACACAGAATAGCTTCTTAGCACACTCACCGCTATCTATGAGTCTTCCACTGAATATGTCGTGGAGACCAACCGCACAGAATTCGCATGGAAATCTAATGTGTCCCCCCCTCCCATTAGAATAACAGGCTTATATGCTACCCAATATCACGAGTGATAATGAGGCATTCTTCCTTGTGGTTCATTTTCGGATTTCTCGAATTAATTCGGAACGGCTCGAGAGTTTTGCGCGCCTGTGTTCACGATTCCTGGGCGAGGATCGTGACACGTACTTCAAAGTCCCCCGTTATGTCTCTGGTTCCTATGCGCGCCTAGTGGGGTATCTGGTTTAAGTTTACCGATTAGATGTTCTTTTATACGAACTCAGAGTGGTCTACCCGTTTAGCAAATGTATTCGTCACCACACGTCTTACAGGAGATCAGATAAACTATACCCGAGCTCATGTAAACACCGTCTCTACCATTAGGGCAAATTATGCAATTTTGCATTGCACATAGACGGTCATATAGGCGGTCACGAACTAGCTGGGACCTGAGATTACTCGGTGGCATTTCAACTACGTTTACCGAATTCTCTAGACCCTCGCTTCTTAAGCAGCGCTTTATAGCTGCACTTACATCGTTTAAAATGAAAACTAGGTTAAACGGGGCCTTTCTATCGCTAGAGTTGTCGTTTGGTGGCCTACGATTTCCTCTACACCTATCCTGAGCTACAGTTTCGTAGCCATTAGAAACGGCTATTTGCCGTGCCAAGTTCCGGGACTCCTCTCTCTGCTCTCTTCCCGTACACACGTTGGTTGCTGTTCGAAACATGTTTCTTATAAGCGCCCTTTTCGTGTGAGAGGGGTGAGAGGAAAGGTAATGAAACAAGATGTTTTTACTACTTGGCTTTCTGTACCACTTTGTAATGTAGCCATTTTCTGACAGGTGAATTTGAACGTTCAGGAATGGAAGCCATTTATCTTTCGGTTTCTCTCGGGTGAACTTGATATACTCTGACTGTGCATTTAACGACTCGAAACATTTGTCCGTTTCCTCTTCTGTTGAGCAAAGGACAAAACAGTCATCTATATATCTACAGTACAGTAGCGGCGCGAAATCGGTCACCAGTGTTTCCACCTTGGACATAAATGCAATGGCAAGACTTGGTGACAGTCGTTGTCCCATCGTCAAACCTCTTATTCGAGCGTAGTACTTTTCGGACCATCTGAAAATTGAGCAGCTCAAGAATTCTTTTAAGAGTGCCATCAACTGCTCTATCCTGAAACCATACATGTTTATTTCTCTTTCGTGTTGCATAAGGAGTTCGAATATGTGTTGCATTGCGGAGTCATTCGACACGTTTGTATAAAGGGCGGTAACGTCGAAGGACTCCATCACGCACGCGCTGTTGGGCTGCGCAGTACGTAGACGATCCAGAAACATCTGGGTATTCGTAAGATGGGCTGGAATGTGTTTCAACAACTGGTTAAATATTAGGGTTAAAAACCATGTTATCCTGTCCGTTGGCCCGTCTACACAGCTAATGATAGGTCTAACTTTAAATAGTGATGGATCGGTAGACGCAAGATCATCGTTGGATACTAACTTATGAGTTTTTATAAGCAAGTACAGGACGGGACATATTGGTAAGTCAACTTTTAGTTGAGAGATAACTGATGATTTCAAACCAGCAGCCCTTGCCATTTTGACCCATTCGTGGTGCAGTTTTCGGTACTTACTTTTAAGCTTCCTCTCAGGTGATGGGCGATAAAGTGAAGCATCTTCGAGATGCTTTTTCGTTATCTCAGCATCCAACTGATGGGGAATTACGACAAACTCTCCGCCCTTATTACTAACGGATAGTCTTATGTTTTTCAACCTTATCAGCTCTCTAACCTCTCGCATACCACGTTTTTGCACTTCATTGAGGTTTGAGCTGTATCTTTTCGCCCGATAACGATTAAGGACCTTGAGAGTTTCATTCGTAAACATCCGAAATTTAACATAAACTTCATTATTCGGCTCCTGTTGTCTAAAGAACGGCTGAGGAAATGGTGCTATTGGTAGGGCCCCCACTTGGTGTTGTTCGCGCCTATTTTGCGTTTCATCTTTGGCTTTTGCGGACTCTATCTTGAAGTTCATGTAAACTACATGCGACCCTACGCAAGATTACCTTAGAAGAAGAAATCCGCCGAAACGCCAGGTTGTGCGTGAATAAAGAATGAAATAACACCTCGTGTTTGCTCAACGAGAATACGAAGAATTACGCTGTATATCTTTCCGCGCCACCGACGGTTTTTGTCCGCTTACAATCCAAGCGCGTAATTTTCTAGCGGTGCATACTTTAATTGACTTTCTCTTTTCAAATCGACGGGATTGAACGGCACTGACGACCAAGAACAAACATTCCTCTACCATCTCCTGAACAGAAGGCAGCTTCATCGCCAGCAGCTGTACCAACTTCCCTCTTTCTTCCCTGCCTGGACATTTAGACGCTGATCTGACCGCTTTATAGTATGACCTGATTTTAAAAAATTAATTCAGATGAAAACCAATCGAACCTAGTTTAATGGGCAATACCTAGAAAGGTGATGGAAAGGCTTTTCCACTTTCTAATGGTAAGTTTATGTAACAGTTTTGTTTCAATTCTGAAAAGAAGATTTTTATTTGTTTCCATAATCTTATCTTTAATCTCTCAACAAGCAAGACTAATTGTTAGGACACTAATCCATTTCCTGATGGGAACGAAAGCTGCTGAGTTATAAAAAAGAGTAGAATTTCATCTAAATCGCTGAAGAAAGGAGGCAGTAGTACCCTGTAAGGCACAAGGAGTTGTTTTGTCGATAACACGTCCCAGGCAAATCATGCTTTCTGTTACTCTGATGTGGTAATTTTGGCACCAGACCTGTCGGAGGCGCCCTGCGACACACACGTGGAATCGATCCACGCCCTCATGGCCCACCAAGCCTTCCATGCTTCCGAGGTTGGCAAATTTGTACTAGACTTGCCTGGCAGGATAGCACCACTGGTTTGATGCATCGGCAGGCCACCCTGAGTTATTGTAAAGGCCAGAAATGCATTCAATCACCTCCAACGATACTTAATGAAGTCGAATGCATGGCGCATCCCTCAGGGATTGATCAACACCGAGAGCTTCATTTTTAATCCTTTATTATTAAGGATGTATCAACGCGGAACGCTTTATCGTTTATCTTTTGTGGCGAATAACTACCCCAATATGTTTCAAAACATAGCGGATTCGTAGAAAACTTTCGAACATCACTTCAAAACTCCTCAGCTTTTAATTTCATTTATTAAAGGTGGAGAAAGCTGTTAATGGCCTCACTAGTGTTTCCAAGCTAATTTCACCTAATATAAAGTTCATACAGTTGAGGTGTCGCTCTGCTACTTTCTTTCTATTACAAAATTAAAAAAAAACTACCACTCAAGATCTATCCTTGACAATGAAGGAGAAGAAATGCGAGCGTTTCAAGTGCAAAAACATTTCAAACTATCGTCTGTTGAACAAAAGTGTGAATGGTTATCTCAGTAAGATCGACGTCCTCTCTAAGTCAATCATTGCTAACATGGAAAAAGAAATTCATGAAAAATTAAAAATATTTCATAATAGTAAGTGAGTAATGGACCCACCTAGGGTTACCGGTTTCCTTGTGGGCTCCGGATACGATGTCGTGGCCAAGAAATTTGGATGGAAGATAAGGGTCGGTGAGGGTGGTAACTGTCTTATAGCTGATAAACCACTGAGCTCATGAACTTTGTTTAGATTCTCGTTTTTGATTATAGATGAATTTGTTCCAAGCCTCTGTGTGCCGCTGTTGCCGTATAAGTTGACGCTTTCGTTAGACGTGATGGGCGTTTGGCTGGCAATTCTTGCGTAATTCGGACCACTTTGCTTGCTGTTGCTATTTCGGCTATTAAAGTTAGTGCTAGAAAAGTTTTCCTTGCCAAAGAACGAACTAAAATTGAACCATGGAGGTCTGAAGAAGCTAGAAACCACATTTGAGTGTGATGGATTGGGAAGAAAACCGCCCGGCGTAGATGGCTAAATGAAAATTTGAGACGTATATATATTAAATTGCCAGTTAAATTTAAGCAATCATGAATTTGATAATCAATTTACCGATTTCTCATTGTTCTCGAACGAGTTGAAAGCATATGATGACGTTTCAGGTAGGATGTTTGATTGAGGTTTAACACACGACAGTGTCTCCAGTCTCGGTACGGTCCCGTAAGGACACAGACATAGTTGTCGTTTCAAGTCGCACACCGTACCACCAATACAGACTTCACCGTTGGCACAACTGTTGTTGAGTATTGCTGAAACTATGACTTCAAAAAGAGGAAAAACACTGCAACTTGAAAAATCGCAAAAAGGTTTTCTAATTTTGTCAAACCAATAGTAAGAGCAATAATTGTGGTCTAGAGACGCACGTAGTTAAGTGGTTAGTTCCATGCGTAGCACACATTGCATCTTGTTCGATCGCGCCTTCCGTTCAAAACAAGACCTTATTTTATTGGACTCGGCAATAATTTTCTAGCAGGATAATAAAAAAATTTGATATATTAGCTCATTGATAACATTTATGAATGGATTATAATGCATTGAGTTTACTTGAACAATAGTAGCCGAGCCCTTGACTGATTTTACATTTCACCAGTGGTCCAAAGTTTACATAAATAAAGTAAGTGATGTAGAATAAGGCGCTTCATCACCTACGTAACACAACCTTTGTTAGTGAAACTAGTGAAAAGAACTAGTTAACTAAGACAAAAATAATTAATTAAGCCAAGTTAACCAAAAACCATCACTTCAGTTCATATCGTTAGGTTCAAAAAAGTGCAATCTGATTGATGATTGATTGATGATAACCGGAAGCAATAGGCCATATTTTTAACATAATAAAGCTTTAGTAACTCGTTTTATATCGTAATATTTCGCCAATCATTGCATTTAGTTTTAGAAAACTATGGTATAAAATACCGATATTCAATGTTGGGGTTCTACGGTACTTTTGTTGTCGGCATTGCTGCTTCATGAAGTCGAATACCATATTATCGGGGCAAACATTCCGGATCCAGTAACCTTTTGAATTGTCGCTGAATGAATACAATGTCAACAGCAGCTATTAAACCACTTTGCTGGTTTCCAGCCGTTTTTCATGAGAATAATTCACGAACTTGGTTTCTGAGATTTGACAGGAGAGGAAAACACTGGGATTTCCGTCAGGATCAGCAGTCAACAAACCATTCAGTTCGCGATTACACGGAAAATTGAGTCCAATGTTGGCAGCTAGAAGAAAAAACTTTTAGTTATTTGAACTATACCTGCGTCAGATGGCTTTACAAAAGAACTAGTGATTCTCCATATATTCGCTTTAAAAGATCCTAGGTCGTAACAATAACAAGTAGTCATAATTTCCTTAACGATCGAACTTTTCACAAGGCTAGAACTGCCTGTCAAGGTTAATTGCTCATTTAGGCATCATGAAAACTCGTATATAGCTTTCTTTGCTTGCTAAAAAGATTTAAAAAGATCCAGTTGGAACTGAAAAGTTCCAGAACTAGTGTGACAAGCGGCTGGATAAACTATATCGTTTTATGTAATGCTGAGATATTTGCAAAACTCCGGACCGCAGGTGTATGCATACGAGCTATATTTCGCAACATACCCTGCCATTAAGAAAAAGGCAGTAAGTAAAAGAGTTAAGATTATATCGTTTTATATTTTAGAGTTATGATTAAATGAAGTGCATAAAATCGTACTGAGTAAGAAAAAGGACCAGTGGACGAGCATTCAGAAAAAGTAATGGCCTCAAGAATTCTGCTTAAATTTTACATTTCCAGACCCAGAAATGTGAGTGGAGTTTACTGTTGTTTTACATGTGACTCCGAACTGCTACGAAATTAACGATGAATAGAAAAAAGGTGACGAAGTCATAAAAGATCTCAATCTTGTAGATGTTCACCGATTAACATTGACAGTAACTGTAAGAGAGTTTTTTTGGTTGTGAAGAAAAACAAAGCCTTCCTAACACATACGAACTCGTTCGGTTCTTTTTCTTCCCTACGTATACCGCTTCTTTTTACTAGCACCAGGCTTGCACGGTAATCATATAACTATATTTTTACCTACAAAACACAGGCGATAAAACAATATTGATGCTGTTATTGCCGTAAGGCTGAACAGATATGTTCGCATAAAAAAAGCTTTTTTTCTGGAAAAAAAGGTTTATGTATATGAGTGACTAGATGTCTACACATAGTTTCTACAACTGTTTTCGGTTGAATGAATTATTAACAGATGTCGAAAAGGAAAATTGTTACATATGATGGCCTTCTTTTGCTCCTTAATTTCATATGGCATTCGCTTATGAGCGAGGAGTTACGATCACTTTTCAACGTTTGTGAGAAACGACAATGCTAGCTAGACTAATCGCAAATTGAGGACACAGGATTTTCACCTGTATTTTTTAAAGTAGCATATCTCATTACGGGAATAAACTCTATTTATGGAAAGAAAAACAAATAAAACCTGAAGATTTTCGCCCACAAGGAACAAATTTGTCTAATACATTTGCTAAAAACTCCAGAATTCTGGAGACGATGAAGTCGTTGAAGGAAGTTTTTGCGCCGTCTTGGTGCCTCAAGCATTTCTGATCTAGGAAATAATCCAGTTCTCTAACTAAGGCTGGGAAATAGGCCAAAAGTCGAAGCCAGCGAGTACGGTCGATGAATCTGTTTTTTTAGTTCAATTCGAGGACTTTAGCGTGTGTCAGCTGCTTGAAATATGGTCACGAATCGGTAGTGCAACGTGTTGCCAATTGGTACAGCACTTTGCCTAGTTTCTTTAATCTTCCAATTTTCTTAAGGTGCTCCGAAACAGTTGAGATGCATTGTGTCCTTTAGTAAGTTCTCATGTAGTCGTGCGTGTATTCAGTCACACCAGAGCATTCAATTCATCCTCGTCTGTAGCAGAAAGGCGCTTGCTATCTTCCTCATCTTCATGGTCGCATTCACCACGAAGAAAATTTCCAAAAGGAGATTTCATTGCGCTTTCGTTACCATTTCTTGGGTCACATATCTCATTAGTGTAGCAAGTCTTTTGTGCTGAACGCCGTTTTCTAGGGTTAAATCGTTAAAAAAAGCCTGTCGACACTGCTGTAGTTCCATCTAATATTCTGACCTATAAAATTCTTCAGCAACAAAATTTATATTACAATTAATTTATAAAGAGCAAAAATGCTTGAAAGAGACGTTTGCGTTCCATGAAATACGCTAGGAAGGCAAACAATAAAAGCCTGCACTAATTCTTGAAGAACATTATAAAACGTGGAGTTTCGATTTTAACGTCTACTAATCTGTCGGTGCCAACTTACCTACTACAAAATTCAAAAGTAACGCTGCTGCGAGGAGGTCCCGCATTGTGTAGAAAGAACGCAGCCTTTCAGCAGATATCGAGCTGAATTATCGTGGTCTACAAAGGGAAAGGATAATGGATACATTCACATAAAATAATAAGTGAACTAAACAAGTGATCTCTTAGTGGTAAAATTTATTGCAAGAAGTTTATTTCATTTTCCTGACAAATTTCTTCCGACGATTGGAAGACGAATAAGAAAGTTAAAAAATGTAAGAAATAAATTGGATACAGGAAACGAGTGGGCATCAGCAAAGTAGAAGAAAATGTGAACTAGGTTTCCAGAAAAGTATAATTGAAAGAATACTCTCCGAGACGTGACCAGTATGTCGGATAAGTGTTTGACTAGCAGATGTCATAGGTAATCGGCAAGAGGTAAGAGAAGACTGTAGTTGAGTGGACGTCGGAGAAGTGACCATGAAAAGTGCTCAATGTGAAGAATACCACACAAGAGTGCTTGAACACAATGGAGGGAGTCATGAGCCAATAAAATACGGAAATGCTCAGTCAGAAGATGACCAACATCGTCGAGTTCTCGCACCCCTCTCGAAACGTCGAAGAAGTGAAGACAAGCGCTTCGTATTTTTATGGCTTCATATAATTAGCAATATGTTTGTAGATAAAAGTAAAATTAAGAGCTTTAGATAATTACCTTTTGAAAAAGGACGGCAAGTTCGACGACGTTGGATTAAAAAAGAATCGTGCTATTCAACCAAGTTTTACAGTAGGTATTCAGGACTCAAAGATTTCTTCCCTAGGAAAAGATTCTAATATTCTTCTACTTTCCTCAAGCGTTCCTAGAACTTAGCAGAAGAAGAGAAGAAACTTCGATGTGCTTACAACACCATAAAAGATGACACTATAAGGTGACTAGGCTCATCGTAAATGACAGATTGAAGAAATACGCTAGGTGGTACGACATAGAAACGTCCAACGAAATTGAAATGACCAGCAGAGAAAGGTAGATGAGATACGTTCGAGTGTCTACTAGCGGCGAGTGAGTCTCCTCTTTGATACCACATATTTACCGATGCTCAAAGCGACTCGGCTAACATTTCGGGATAGAACCGACCGATAACTAAACAAGCCAGCGGATTAGCGAACAACGGTGGAACCGAAAACGGTGAAAAAGTGCACATAGACAGGCAGCCGGATCAGATACCCGTTTCTCTATAGTGGATTGTGTTTGAGGATCGCCATGGTCAACATCCTGACTGGAACCGTGTGCTAAGGGCTTGATGATCAAGTGTACCCTACTGTTCAGAAATAAATGAAGCTTGAAGTAGTGGAGCAGGAAATGAGCCGATTCTTGATTTTTTCAAAAAAAAACGGAACATTCTTGTTATAACGGAGCCGTTCTGTTTTAAGCACGTAAGCACGACGTCGAGCTCCAGGTACGAAAATGTGATAGAAATGGGTTTTCGGATCAAAATACCATTACTACCTCAAATATAAAGGAAAATCGTCTCTACAGCCAGTAATAAATTGCCGTATATAAGCTATTTCGCAGAAAATGTTCCTTTTTAATTTGGAAAATCTAAGAAAATGCTTCTCATTAATGGTAAAATATCGTGGGAAATATCGTAAAGGTCAAAGATGAATTCGAAATAAACTGGAACGAATAAAAGAAGTGAGAAACCCATACAATACTGGAGAGAATAAGGTGTTCTTCTCAAGCAAATACGACGTTACTTTAAACATCACAAATACAAGTGAGGCTCAGTGACGACATTCGAATGTTGGAGTGAATTGATCAGAGCGGTCAGATCTCGATCTTACAAATAAAGTAGAGAATCGGTGAGGCACATTTGTTGCACAAGAGTTGTCATAGTCATAAGCAGATTTTGTCCCAGTGAAGAACTACACAAATCACAGTGGTGAGTGGTGGCACTGCGAATAGAGGAACTACCTTCAGGTAGCATACCCATGTTAAAATGTACTGGGAGCGAGCGCGTTTTTGGGAGATGAAAATTTAATCGTATAGGCGTCTTCGTTCACTTATGTACACTACTACTCGATCAGCACATATACCTACTGGAATATCGCGACGCTGTTATGGCACCGATAATGTTACGTCAAATTGAGTGGCCACTTTAGTTTGGCGCTAAAGTTTTAGGTAGCAGTATTCAAGCATCTACCTACCTGAAAGTTTTCTAAATGATGAAAAATACGACACTGTGTTAAAGCGCTGTAGAATTCGACATTTCTCTTCCTACTTAGTCTGCTGTGGATGAAAAAAAAAAGCGAAAATGCCCAATCTCTTAATAAATGAGGTTTTGTCGGCGAAAGAAATTGTTGAAGAGCTGTCGTTTACCTGTAGCAAGACAATTCAAAATTCGTTATCCCGTTGTATCGAAGGTTTCTTAATATCACACAAATGCTTGCCAACTCAAAGAATGATTCTGGCCATTAAGTGGTACAGTTACTGCTACCGTCATAGATCATACAAAAAAGCAGGAAAAAAACAAGCAAAAATATCTTTTGCCGGATAAATGAGGTAGACATGCGTCAAGAAATCGCTGGTGTTTGTGAAACGAATTTAGCTCTGGCGGTTTTTACCCACCAAGGTCTCACTTCTGCAGGCTTCGTTCGGTTATGACAATAAAGCTTTAGTAAAGCTAACTTGATATGCTTGATATTTCATTGCTTCCAAAACCTCTTTGAAGACCAGTCAGCTGAATTCAATCCTGAATTCAAAAAGAGTTTTCCAAGCTTCACTACGCTGATGAAGATGTTTCTATATGTCATATTGTAATGAAAGGAATATCAAACATCTTGACAGAGCTATCCATGCAGAAAGAAATTGAGGATCTGCAATAGTAACTTGTCCAATGCAGAGCTACAACGTTAGACGGAGGAAGACTAGCCTATTATTCATGAATGAGTTATAACTGGTTGAAAGGAATAGAACGGATCATATCTCCCTCTGTGGTATGAGGTGAACCAGCGCTGAGGCAAACAATGAACGATGCACTGGTGCTCACGGGGAATAGTGGTTGCACCATGTGCTGTCAAGAAGTCACGAAATGTCCGCCCAAAGTCCTCATTCTTCGCGGATTCCTGCACAGGTAGACCTTCTCTAGGATAGTGCACTGGAGAGACGAAGAGAATGATTGTGCTCTGTGAGTTAAACTGGAAATCATAAATCTGCCTTGAAAAATAAACCAACCGGTCCGAGAAAAATCTGTTTAAAGAATTTAGAGCTGTGTCTGAACGATGTGAAATCACTGACCAGCTCTCTAACTCGTTGAGCGACCATTTCATACGACCAATTGAACAGTTTTCTTTTGATAGAAATCAACCTGCGGTTTCCACTGGATTAACCCAAGATCTGGAAGTGTTGTTAAAGTAGGACTACAAAGAAGAGAAGTCATCAAGGAAACGTTGTAAAACAAAAGCTCACAATTTCATTATACATAGGACAGTGAGGTTTATGATTTCACTTGTAGGAGCGAAAATGGTGAGGGTAGAGCTCGACGCTCTTGTGAATTTCAGAGCAAAAACTGGCTGTTGGTTAACGAAGGTGACACTCTCGTGCAGGCAAACTCCCCCGTTGGATAACTTGTTATCACTTTATTTACCGCACACGGGACACAGTAAACGAATTAAATATGACTTGACCCCATCTTTTGTTATAGCCGAAGATATGCAGTAAACAAGAGATATTCAATAGTTCTGATACTACTCCCAAAGAAGACTTAAAAATTTGCCGACCCCAATGGGATTTACTCCTTGGTGACCTCACGTGCGATATTCAATCCGCGATCTATTCAGTATGTATTGCTGGATAAATCTAAACACTATTGTATATGAGCGGTAATAGAATTGAACCACTGGAAACTAAACGGTGAAATGTTCAAAAACTGAGCTAATAGGCCGTCCAGTATTTTTTCACAGGACTTTAACTTGCAAGGTTCAACCCAGGAATAGACATGAGATTCACATTGATGCTCAACAGGATCTTAAAAGCTGACAAGCTTGATATTTCCATCCGAAAGTCCGTCAAAGAGTGAACTAATGCCAGGAATCTCTATCCTATGAGAAGAATAATGTAGAACTATCAACACACCAGTCTCCCGGTATTTGTGCACAGATCATCCTCTTCTTCCGGTTAGAAAACGAACCATCGAAATATTCAACTAAATTATCTTCATGGGTGATTAACACGGTAAAAATAAAACACTAACAAAGCAGGAAACATGTGACATAGAAGGCAGCAATACTTATTGTTACTTTTAAGTTGTGAGAGAGATTTGATTCTGAGAACTTTTATCTCCGTCTACCTTCTGTTAATAATTTAGATCATTTTCACTTCTTTTCAATTTCACGAACATTTTTGTCGTTCTTGTAGTTACTCGATCAACATTATACGACAAGAAGAGCCTATGATTCGCTATGAGCAAGGTTGCTTTCCCAGTTTCATCAGCGTTGAGGGCAAGAACTATTTGAGTCGTGTTCGTCTCGTGTGTTCAGAGAAAAACTTTGAGACAACAGAGATAATTCCAATGATGAAAAATCACTTTTCTATGGATTTCCTGTGCATTAGAGTCTTTTACTATCATCATAGAGGTGACTGAATACATATTTCACATGATAATCTCTTAGCTTCCAGTAGATGAATTGCTTAGAAATTCCTAATTCGCGGTTTTTTATTAGCTATAAACAACAATCGATACGATGGGTTCTTCCCTGCAGTAAGTCCTCAAGGAAGCGAAGACTTGTGTACCAACTATCTACCTAGAGATGGCTTCTTTGATCTAGTGGATCTCTCACAAGCTCCATCACCACATGGTGTCAAGCAACACCAGTAATGGAAAGACTGCCACCAGCATATATAATGTCTCACCTTTAGCGCACGCTTTGGATAAGTTGGGTCTGAATTTCTGCCTCTTATGAGGGATTTACTGATCGAGCGCGACTCTACCTAGAAACGGGATTCGTAAATGCATACGCTTTATAAAGTCTGCGTAGTGTACTTCAATTCCTCTTGATTGGTTTGATAAGC